AAAGCAAGGCAAGTCAGCAGGCGAGGTAACCATGCTGGAATTTTTGAAAAAGCCCCCAGCCACAGTGTGGTATTTACGCATTTAGTTAAAAATCTAGCCCATAGCAAAGCAGAAGCAATTCTTAAATCCAGTGCTTTCTGCTGACTAAAAAGAATAAATCCCAACTAGTTCTGAGTAAAAGTGTCTAAACAAAGATTTCATGCATTCTAATTAATTCACTTTAAAATTACATCAGCAGAATCTGCATGAACTTCTCAAATGCAACTAAGCAGACTAGCTCTCTGCTTAGCCACTCAGTGGAGATGGAATCGCGCTTCGCTAAGGAGTCTGAAAGAAAAGGAAACAAATATAAAATAAAAAAATACAAACATGACAGTTCTTCAAGTTGATGCTTCCTGGTTGCCAATTTAAACCAGAATTAAAATAAGTAAATCAATTCATTCTGTTGTTCAGCAGCAGAACGTAATCATATGTTCTGAGAAGCATGAACATTTAAATATTATAAGACTTTGAAGTCTGTGACAAAGAGTAACAGACATTTCTGTGCAAGTTTAAAAAAAACACAAATACAGAGCACAAAAACTGGATTCTCTCCACTTCATGGTAATTCCCCTGCATTCCCTCCCTTCCTCCTTCCTTTCCTCCAGGGAGGTTAATTGTAAGCAGATTTACAAATTTGAACATTGCTTCACTGCACTGAAGCAATCTGGAACAATAATTCCGTGCCTTTATAAACATAATTTTGCTCTATTAGAGCTCACTGCAGATGAGGTTTATGCCAGTATGGAGTGTTTCTCTGCATCACACTGTGGTATGTGGGCTGGGTGTGTGTCTGACGGGGACTCTGAAGACTATTAAGCACAGTGACAGTCCTTGCAACCTGCAAATTTTATAAAAGAGGATGGAAGTGGAAGAGCTGCTGAGCAGTAGTGGCAGAAGGAAGCTCCATTTTCTTCCCCCTTGTACCCTGCAATAAACCCAGTTTAAGGGCAGGCTTCACCTTACAAAGCGTATGTTCCATCACCCTGCTTGAAAGAGTCCATTATTGTTTGAGAGTTTTGCCCAGCTTCCCGCGTGCTCCCTTAATTGCAGGAGGCAGTGTGACCCCTTGCCAGCTCCCAAGGACCGAGGTCCATGCATCCAGGCAACAGTCTGCTTCTTGCTGACACCTGGGGTCAGGCCAAGGATGGTGCTTCAACATCAGCTTAGAGATCACGTAATAGAAGGGCAAAGGTTAGTTTCCTAAGGCTCTTCATCACATAATGAGCCACTGTCAGCCTTAGTAGCCTTCTCACTTCAGCAGCAGCAAAAAAAATATAATCCTGTATGATCACCTTTTGTCTCTATAAGTTAATAAAAAAAAATAAATAGCAGGCTGAAAGGGTAAGAAGGATAGAAATGGTTCTGAGATCCCCAGCTGCACCTACACGCTCCTGAGCATGAACTGATGTGGGACAGCCATACCACAAACCCAAAACCTGATGCAGTGCTGGTGGAGGGGTTGGCTGTTCCACTGAGAGCTGCAGCTCAGGTTGCAGGGACACAAGCTCAGCAGTTTCTGAAGGAGAGGAATCAGATGAAAGACAGCAGGGCTTTATTTCAAGCTGTGTTTTGCCCTGTTGTGGGATGATAAGACAGTCATCACTAAGTCGTTTCCCCTCACACCCTTTGTCTTGTCTATCTGGAGCACAAACGTTTTGCAAGAGCAACTGCACAACGAAAGACAGTCCCTGCACTAGTGGGGGATCCAGTTTCAGCGGGTCTTGCAGATATTATCACAAGGCAAATAGCTCCACTCCTGCCCTGGAGGCAGTCTTGTTATTGACCTCTCTTGATCAGATCTGAGGAATAACATGGGGTCGAAGATAACTTTTTTCCCCTACACGAACAAAACAACCTATAAAGAAATGCAAATCTAGTGCATTCCTTCATCGACTCACTTCATTCTCTAAAACAAGATAAAAGCATACTAGAAATGCTCAGTACCCTCTTCTCTTCCAAAACACCTCCATTCTTAAAACCATACTTTTCACACTGGCTAGGCAACCAGTTCTCATCTCATCTCTGATGTTTGTGTGCAATGCTCATTAAACTCAAAAGGAGTCGCATATGCAAGTACTTTTGCATGCCCTTTAAAGGCAAAACAAATAAACACAGAACTGTAGCCTTTAAACACAGATTATCATGTATACTGAAATTCTCCATTTACTCCTTCCCTTAGCTCCTGGGAACAGACCTTGAGGTTCCTATTTGCAGCTGCCCAGCACGACTACTTTCCCCATTTGGAACTGGTTTGAGCATTGTAAGTTTGTTTCCCTATTAGATTTCTCTGACACTTTTTTTCTGTCCTTTGTTCCTGCCTTTCATGATACAAGGTAACAGAACTGTAAGAAGACAGAAAAACAAAATGTGAATAAGGTGCTGGGAGAAAAGAAAAATCTCTATCTGGTAAGAAAAGGCCCACTGACAAATGTGCCTTTGTTTACATAAACTTCTAAATAAATGGAGTTGAAACATAGAGACATGTATGAAAGAAGGTCAGATAAGAAAATAGTTTTTCAAATTTCTTAAGAGATTAAAAGCTCCTATTTATGAAGGGATGACACAGAATAACTTCAGACTTAGTTCTTAAACCCAGAACTCAAGACACACTGCATTCAAACTGATGACATTTAAAATAATTCCTCTATTCCTTTGCAAATGCCTCCTACATAAATGCAGCCAGAGGACATCCCTCACTTCCCCCCAGTATCCTCTGTCCCCCTCCAACCTGCTATTCCCCTTTCAGTGCCTGTAGTGGTTTGAGATAAAGACAACTGCCAAAGGGCAATTTCACTCAGTTCACCCAAGAAAATATAGGCAGAGCAAAATCTTAATTCTTGCTGGCAAAGCTCCAGCTACCCTATGGGAGAAAACAATCCATCACCTAAAAGGCAGTAAGTCTTTATACTTTACTCTAAGTAACTTCGGTTAACATGCTCAAAATACTGCTGATATTTCCAAAACCTGCTCTGATGTGACGCTATAGAATTTAATAAGATTACTACTTCACGTCAGCAATAAAATCCTTAAGAATTCAAGGACAATAAGCCCTCAGGTGAGAAAAGTGTTTTTTCTTCTCTTCCAAACTGCATCATACTGGTTTTATGAAGGAAAAAAGCTTCAAGAACACAGAGATATAGATATAGATATAGATATAGATATAGATATAGATATATAGATATAGATATAGATATAGATATAGATATAGATATAGATATAGATATAGATATAGATATAGATATAGATATAGATATAGATATAGATATAAAATCCTCTTCATTTAATCTTATGTCTTTGTCCATCTTACTATTTAGCCTACCTTCTCCTTTACTCCCATCATGGTCTCCACTCCAGTAAATCTACACGTAAGTATAGGTAAGTGCACTTCAGGCACATGAGAAAACCAGAAAACCCAAGGACAGTGAACTCATGGAAATCCTAAGACGTCCTCCCCCAGTTGCTTGAAACTTGATGCTGTTTTCAATACCAACTTCAGATTTCCAAGAAAAGGAGTTGGAAACACTGCAAAGTGGTCCCAAAGATGTATGTGGTTCTTTCTCTGCTCTTCAACACTCTTCCTCCAAGATGAGAGGAAGGAGAGGGTGGGAAAGAGAAATAGGATGCAACCAGGAGGGACCAGTGTGACTTCGGCTCCTGCCCAAGTACAGAGAAGGGAACTACTCGGAAGTCCCATGCAATTCAGGAGGGAGAAATGCTGAGGATGAGAACTGGTTTAAATCACAGTTTGGGCATAAATGTCTCATCAGTGTCATTTTTTTTTCCTAGTCTTAAGTCTCCCCAGGGAACTCCTGTGGGTGAATTAAAGTAAAGAAGTGGTGGTGGGCAATTTTTCCCTTCTCTTATGCACATCCTACAAATCTCTGTAGCGTTTATTATAGGAATTGACCAACCGAAATCAGGAACATCACTGCTAGAGGTAAAAACCCTCCACAATCAAACAAATCACTACACCAAATACTTTTTTTCTACTGCAATCACTCCAATCAAAAATGAGAAAGTTTCAGAAACATTACCCCATAGGAAATTGAGAATGGCTTTATTACCTAAACTTTCATGCTTGACAGGAATATTAATCAACTGGAAAAAGAAAAATCATGGATTTCTACCTAAATATTTTTAAAATGTTAAATGACAAATTTCTAAGGAGTGAGAGGAAAATTATTTGGGGTTTTTGTGCACCTGGTAGCACTTTCACATAGTCAGGTTTACTAGCTTTGCAGGTTTAGAAGAGGATTTGTCAGCTTGTTTAACCTTTCAAGGAGGCTCCAACCAGTAAGAACTGAAGACTCAAGAGCATTGCACCGTCAGTTCTGTACAATGGTACAAGCTGGCACTACCACTAAAAGAAGGACCTCTGTCACAAGCACCTGCATTGGCGTGAGGGAGAAAGTGTAAGGCTGAAGGAGGCTGCTGCCTGCTGCACAAAAGCCAGCGGGAAGCCCTCGTGACATGACAGCCTGGGCTAAGACCAAGCCCAGCAAAACCACAAGCCAGTCCACAGGGCAGAGGGAGGACTGAAACTGAGTTTAAGAAGCCAGTGCTGTTCCCCTTACACCCTTGCCCCAAGAAGTAATTTCTAGAGCAGATGGGAGAGAATCTAATCTTAGAGCAAGTATCTGTGGGTTTGTTCTTTTAGAAAACCCGTCGAAATTGCCAATTTGGGCGTTCTCACACCCACACAGGGTGGCCACACCGCACAGGCAGCGTGTTGCACTAGAAGTTCTTAACTGATGGCATTTTGGCTGCAAAGTAAAGGACTCAGAAGTTCGGGAAGTACAGGTCTGAAGTTGTGTACAAAGTTCATACTCCTTTCTCTACATATGAACGTAAATACTGGCTTCAATGCAGAATTGTATCATATTCTTTTCCTTGGGACTGCCACATATATATATATATAGGATAGGACTAACAGTAAGCTGTTTCTGAAGAGAACTTACATTCTTTGGACATTCCCACTTCAAAGCACTTCTGTAGTCTGCAGTACTGGCAGCGATTTCTGGTAACTTTATTGATAACACAGTTTTTATCTCTGTGACACGTGTAAACCATGTTCTTCTGGATACTTCTGCGGAAAAAGCCCTGAAATCAAGAAAAAGAAATTAAATAAACTTTTGAGCTTCCCATAACCCTTAGAGACAGGCACTAACATTGAATTAATTTTGTTATTTTAAAGCAAAGTTATGGCATCTTTAAAGACTCAGTCTTGTTATAATTTAGTACTGTCTCTTGCAAGAGAAGACTCATCTCTTAAATAAAAACTAATTAAATAACGCAACCTAAGGCCAGAATAAACAAAACTAGAACTAGTCACAGCATTCAGGAAATGAAGTCCTAGATTTTACTAAAAAGCTAAAATAAAAATGGTTTGGGTTTATGGATGTAGTAATGAGTTGGGTAAACAACAGCCTTCCTAACAGATCCACTTGGAAGTCAAACATTCATCCAACAACTGACAGCCTCTCTCAGCTGAAAGGTCCCCTCTATTTTTGTTACTGCAAAGATTCTTTAGTTTGAAGGCTGCACGTAAAAAGAGAAATAATTTGAAACCCAGGTCTCTTAGCTGCTGGAACTTCTACAACAATTAATGAGGCTCCTGCAGGTGGAAGAATTCCAGCATCAGGTTATTGAGTTGTGAACTTGTAAAAGTTGCCAATTACAGCATTTTTTTCTTATTCAGATACAGCTGTGAAAATAATCAAGTAATTACAATGATCTTGAACAGAAATTAAACAGAACTAGAGGTCTGGTTTGAACTTAAGAAACACCATTTGACTGGATGCTTCCTTTGGTGAGTAAAAAAGAAAAAAACAGCCATAAACAGTAAGGTTAGCTGGCATAGAAAAAAGGCAAAACCCAAGTTAATTTCTTTATCTTCACTAAAACCAAGCTTTAGATAATATCATATAATAATGAAGGAAAAAAAAAAAAAAAAAGAAGATTACTTTAAGCATTTTAGAGCTCAACCCACAGATATTCAGCAAAAGTATTTCTGCAACAGACATTTGGAATTTTGACAGCACTATTTAACCTTCTCACTCAGATTTTGAAAATCATTACAGCAAGCACCAGGGTCAAATTTCAGTCAACATCGTAGCATTATGGAAGAACAGTTAGCAATTTAGTATTTGTTGGAGGGCTTGAGAGGTTAAAACTTTTCAACCAGCCACATGTTTACACCCTACAGGGAAGCAGTAAACTTGCTAAGACAATAGTTCTGTGCCCACAATGCATTTTTCTAAAGATGCAATCATGGTAAGCTATAAAATTGGCTGTCCTAGAAGCACTCACTGAGATATGCGAGTAGTTCAAAAGCCCTATCGTCCAGTGTTAACTGTGAGAGTTTCTGACCATATGATCAGGGAGTGGTAGGGCAGGCACAGTCAGTAAGGGCTGGTCATAAATTCCTTGCACACCCAACATGCTATAGATGCTAAAGTTATGAAAATGCCTTGAATTCACTCAGAGCTGAAAAATGCCTCCTTAATCACATAACCCCAGGCAACAGTTTTCTGCAGCTCTTGCACAGGCAAGCCTCATCCTGAGGTTAGCTTCTCTGATTTAGAAGATACTTAATACTACCATCAAAGACGTAAATGAAAACTTTTAATTTCTTTCTTTTCCTTAAGCTCCTGGAAAGAGAAGAATTTGAAGCTATTTGTCAAGACAATCAAAACCTTTTAAGTTATCAATAACACTGATATTTTATATTCCCCTTTTGATCATTAACACTACTTGAATCCCTGCAATGGCAAGTATGGCAAGCGTGTGTACATTTGATTACTTGATGAGAAGAAAATTTATGGTAATATTCATTTACTACTTTCTTGTTTTGATATTCCCCTAATTGTGATGCCTGGCTCTGTGGTAATTGCTGATGATGCTAACTAGAACAGTGAGGAGTCTATGGTATCTGTTTTGGTTTAATTCAATAGACAGAAAGTGAGAGAGCTGTGCTGGTTCAAGTGTCTCTATAAGGCTTATTCTGTCACCACTTCTTAGCTAGAAAGAGGTAGGGAAAGCCAAGACTGGTAGCTTCCCCTGCAGCCACCCCAGCTTAATCCAGTGCTGCACGTAAATTAACACTCACAGCCACTGATGGAATAACTGTCCTACCACCAGCCTGACAGGGCAGGAAACAAAATGGCCCAAATGAACAAAAATTACCCTCTCGTGCAGCAACTGTCTCACCACACTGAACAACTGGAGTAATTTAAAGAAAACAGCCTCCAAAACCTCTTTGCCTGCACATGCTTTGAGGCAGAGGCTGCTGTGCATCTATGCTAAAGAGACTTCTGGTTTACTGACACAGCTCCTACTTGTAATGAAGTATGAGCTTCAAAAGTGTCACTCAGTACAGGGAAAAGAGGAAACAGTCTCCTCCAAACATACCTATACTTCACCAAACTATAACCAGTAGCTAATGGCACCCACTGATTGATAAGTTGTTCTGATATTTAGACTCAGGTTCTGCACGCTTTTGTCCTATTACAGTCCATCAGGAAGGAAAGCAGAGGAGGCTGTCTCAGTCCTTACCACATGAAGTTGACAACACAGCCCAACAGAAAAAGGTGATCTAACTTTTGCAGACAAGAAGTACGAAGCATTCGTGAACTCATTACTAATATAAAAGACTTAAGAAAAACAAACCCAGAGAAAGCAGTTCTCTGGGTCAAAATGAAGACAGTCTCTTCAACAGCCTAACCTCCCCAGGCAATGTCCTACACAGAGTGAAAGATATAGATGAGGATATTATTTGTGGAAGCTTAGACTGTTTTACAAATTATTTTTTTAACACCTGTATTTGATTTTCTTCCTGCAGTTACTCATGAAACAGAAAGAAAAATGAACTTTCTTACATAAAATATTCAGGTGAGAAAAGGTATAATGTGGTCTTGCTCAAAACTAAGGACATGTTTCTCAGCAGTATATTAGTGCCCACTCCCCCGCTCTTCTTCCCAAAGACAACACTGGGATACTATTTCTACTAAGACTTGTGGCAAGCTAATTTAAAAACCTCAGCAATAAGTCACTGAAAAGATTTAATCTTTAATTTTTTCTCCAGACAGGCACAAAGAAAAATGCCGAGATTATAAATATGATTTTCTCTCTTTGCATACAAGCCCCAAACCAAAGCCATCAATGGGGGTGTGACAGGAGTTAGCACCAGGAGGCGAGGAGCATTTGCTGGGCACTGGGGCTTAGTTTCCCCAGCTGCCTCCATAAACCTGGTGCTGTGCAGCCACAAGTTTTGGGTGGCACTGCAAGCACGGTCATGACCAGAAGCATTTCCTAAATCTGACATTGGGCTTAAAAGTCAGACAATGTCCTGTCTACCCCTCTGCAGGGGTTTGGAACTCACCTGCTTTGGTAACATGCAGCTCTACAGTGAGAGAAAACTCTGCAGGACAGGGTGATGGGTGAAGTGGGTACTTGCTGCCCAGCTAAACAGAAAAGCACATTTAAACCATTTCAAGGCTGTGTTGCAGATAGCACAGGTATCTGGCTTGTTAAGTAAAAATATCAAAGTCAGAAGGAAGCTTGAGTTTTCCTCCAAGTGCTTTTTCTCCAATGACTTCCATCTGATCTCAGAACCCCAACAGTTTCTTCAAAAACCAAGAAAATCTGAACATGACCTAACCTTAAGACGTTCTCAAACTTCAGACACGTTCTCAAACACAGTAAAACCACCACTCCTTATAAATTAATCAATTTCTAGTGCCTACTGGCTCTTGGAAAACAAACTACTACTTACTGTAATACATTCATCTTGAAAGGAATCTGTTTGGCTGAATATTTACATGACCAATTTTTTATGCAAATATTTTAGCATCCTGTCTAAATTAACACCCTGTGACAGGAGATGAGACATTTCTGTGCCAGAAACAAGCACAAATGATTCTTCCTTTGTAATTTAAAATGCCTTATGAATATATATATAAAAAAAAAACCCTGACATTCTGTGAGACATAAAGCATTACTGTCATATGTAATTGTTTTCAATAGCACCTACAAAGTACCTGAATTTAAAGTAGAGGGAGTTACTGAAGGCTGATCAGGAACAGTGATTTGCTCTAATATTCCTTTTATCCACAACTTTTGAAAGGAACATGAATCTTGAGGTTTTAGCAAAGACAAACAAAGCTTTGCAGAAATCACACTTTTGAATACATTCCATCCTTCTGAGCTGCTTTTATCAGCATCCTTTACACAGAGCGTTTTGGATAAACATTTCAATTTTTAATCTCATCTTTTCTGTGCACCATGCCATGCTCCTCCCAGGCCCACCAATCTTGTTATCTTAATGGATGACAGATAGAGTATCACTCTGACCATGCCACATTAGGCGTCCTCATTTACCGAGTGCAAGGAAAAAATGCTGAGTATAAATTATTCAGAAATCTATTGTATCAGCGTGTGTTCTCTGAGCATCCACCACTGGCAGAGCAGACAGATTATTTTTCACTTTTAATTGTGTTGATATCTTATCTGCCGCACTGAAAGCAGAGAGTGATATGTGAAACCGTATGTATCAAGCAGCAAATAAACTCAAGTTTACTAGGTCTATTGCTTAGAACTAAATAATCTATTTAATCAATCTAACTTCCACACAATACCAAAAAACCCTACCTCATCCCACTCACCACTTACTTTTGTTGTATTTGCCTGAGAGTGTGTCAAAATTAAAGAGCTCAGTATAGAGCAGTGGTGCCCACAGAGAATGTCAACTATTTCAGTAATATTTTGAATACTATTATGCCACTGAATATCTGAATACAAAGGAGCTCATTAAGGATGAGCCCTTAAGACAATGTTAAGTGTTTAAGCTTATGAAGTCTTACAGAACCTGTTAGCATGAACCTTACATATCTGATAGGGAATCTACACAACTCCCTCTCCCTGTCCACTTGATTTTGGGAAGTCAGATTATTTAGAGCTCAGGTCATGCACACTGTATGAAGATATGGATCATTTGATCCCAACACCGCCTTAAAAATATTTTGCCAGCATACAGCATGACAATCTTATTTGCAGATGTAGTGGGTTTACAAATTGAAAACCTGCACTACCAGCCAGGGACA